TCTCGGAAGCTAACATCGGAGAAATGCGCATCCAACAATGTGTTGAACTGCTATAATGCCTTTTCTTTCTATATATGCTCCTGCAAACTGTTCCAAAGTTTGAGCAATCAAGTTTCAAAGCCAAGGGGATGAGGAACTCGTTTTATCTCCGGCACCCCAAGTGTGTGCTGATGCTCGCGTGTGTTGCAGGTTGTTTGCAAGTGGAGAGTAGTGGCGTCACCATGAGGTAGTCACCTAGATATGAAATGCGGCATGTCATAATGAATTTGACTCTCAACCGACGATAGGCCAGGGTACACAGTCCCAGTTTCGCGCACCTGTCCTCGTTCGATAACCCCCGTAAGCTGAGAATCAGTGGTAGCGAGGTGTTGGACCCGCTCGATCTTCTTTTCCTAGCCTAGAGCAGTCGGAAAATATGTGGGCGAGTAGTACTCTAGCACTGATCTTATAATGGATGAGACGAGGTGAGTAGCAACTTCTTCAGACCGGACTCGGAAGCTGCGTTTGAGAGTCAAGAGCATGCGCATTCTTTTTCAGTGTAGTCTGTTATTCACGAACTTCAGATCGCAGCTTGATGGTACCCCTAGGTTCTTCACGGTAGATGTGGGATGTAACGGTTGGTCGTCAACCGCTTAGGTTTGGTCCTCACAGCCCTTCCCCAGACTCATGAACAGAAAGTTGAATGGGTTGACCTGGAGACGGACTTCTGCAGCCCACACGGAGAGGCGCTTGAGGTCTTGCTGAAGTCGGCCGCAATCATCGTAGGTGCTAATCGCTCCATATCTTCAGATCGTCTGCAAACAGAGCGGCAGAAGAACCTGAGTTAGGTCGTTGGCCCCGGCGCCACTATCCAATTTCGTCCAACGCGAAACTCGTGGATCTATTGGTGCAGTGAGTTACCAAAACTGGACACAGCCTGTGGAGGATGACCTCACGGTTCATTTTGTCGAACGCTTTGCAGAAATCGATGTAGATCACCTCGACAGATTTCCCATGGTTCCCTGGCTGCAACAATACATACCTCGTCACCAGTACGTTGGCAATGCATGAACGAGCTGGTATGAAACGGTGCTGTGAGGTCGTCAGGAAATTTTTTTAGCCGGAACAGCCGTTATCTTGGCCAACATACGTGTCTAACATCTTGGTCTCTGTCTACTTTGATGGGGTCAGCAATATTCGTAACCGACCTTACCACCGAGCATTACCATTTAATCGGCTACGAACCATCGGACAGCGACCTGTTGAACAGGTCAGTCACAGCATGCAACATGATGGTCGATAGGGACCTGAGAATCAGTGGGTGAAGTTCGTCAGGCCCAGCAGGCTTGGTGCAGTCAAAGTTGGCAAGTGGATGACGCGCCTCTTCGACACCACACCTCTGTACAACCATAAATAAAAGTACACCTACAATACCGGAGTGGACATTTGCTGAAGCGTGGTTTTGTTAGCACAAACCAAAATATGCATTATCCACCCAAAGGGGTACGTTTCAAATATACACAGTAAGTGTTCCAACTGAGAAAATACAGGGATCATACTCACAAACACCATACGAACAGCTGATCGCGCATCAAAGTGGTGTGTAGTATCAGACTGACGAGTAAGCGTAGTGAATACGGTGAGAAGGCGCTGAGATGGAACGAAGTGTGAGAAGACAGTTTTGGTTTTGGGTAGGAAGAAGAAGCATATGAAGGAACGATAGTCCATTGGGTAGTGAGATGGGCCGGTCCGAATGGTTTCTACTTGTGTTTCCTCTCCCTGTGTCCATACTTTCTGCTCTCGCTGGCCGCTATCTGAATGATTCATTTCCCGACTGAGCACATGGTCACAATCATGCAGTTTGCTGCAATCCGTTCCCAATCGAGGTGGTATATAAGCTGTTTGGGGAGCTGCCGCTCTGAGAGTTAACGCTTCTCTTTACACATTTAAATGCAGGACATTGGTGGGTGAGTCGTCATATACTGCAGCCACCAATCAGTCATAGTGGTCCGCCACCGTTATCCATGGCTCGGTGGCCCAAGTCGCTGGCTCTTAAGATTGAAGTTACGGGCTCAAATCCAGCTGCGCTCTGTTGATGAGACCCGGCAGTAGAAAACGGCCATCCAACGCTGTTCTGAGAGTGGGCGCTAGTAGCTTGACTGAATTTAGCCGCAACAAGCAATTTCAGAAAGAATACAGAATTCCCATGCTAATGTCTAACACTAACTGCACATGCGAGTCGGACGAACGTTGTTCCTACGAATCATGATGTGTTCTGCCGTAATCAATTGATTGCTACGAAGATACGAGTCAACTCACTTGGCAGATTGCCACAGGATGTTCACAGGCACTACATTATCGATCGAACAAGCACAGCGGCGTTTCATTGAGATGAAGAAAGTTCTTTAACGATGAGGCTCAACAGTAAGTTCCATAAATGTGGGATTCACCGAATATCAACATCCTTCGGTTCATTTCGTCCCTGTCGTGTTGAATGCTACACGGTGCTCACATCTGATGGGAAATAGCACTACCTATGTCTGGTTTTATAAAGACTGGATTTGTGTTGGTAAGTGGATGGTAAAAATTACCAACTGTAATTAAGCCTTCGATTAGAACTAAGAACACATATTCGCCATAAATTACACTGTGCAACGAAATTGGTTTTTCTATAACCGAAATGCCAATGTCCCTACCTTACAGAATGCACTCCTCTGATCGTAGAAATGTATTCCAGTGTCACCTAGCACGTCAGAATACATTGTTATAAGCAAGTGATTATTTTCAGCAATGTCAAGGCTTCGTCGTACGAAGTATAGGTAAATGCACTGAATCACAAAGTTACTGAGTGCATCTGTGTTAAATACGTTTAAAACATCACTGCAATACTCGTCGCTAACTACTGACTGCAGCTTGGCACTGGAAAATGAGGACTTCGCGCAGATCGTTGCCTGTATAATGCAGCGCCGTCACGCAGCAGAAACTAGCAGAAGTCATCCATCATAGAAGACGTGTACTTGTTGTTGTAACACTGCTTCATGGCTGAAATGCCTTGGTGAAAGCGCTCACCATACTCATCGTTAACACATTCCAAGTTCTCAGGGAAAACTCAAGGTGATTGTGCAAAAGGTGCATCTTGAGTGACATTCGAGAACCAACAGAGTGATAGTCCACAATGAGTTTTTTGTGATATCTTTATAGTTTTCTTCCGTTGTACCTCTCAAAAATCCTGTACACACTGCCTCGAGTGATCTCCACGCTTCTAACTCAAATGAAGTCAGCTGGCACTCGAAAGCACTGTCTGTCATTATTCGGCGAATATCAGGTCGAGTAAGTACCCCTTCTTTGAGCTTCGCATCACTGATCTTTGGAAACACTTGGTTCATGTAATGGAACGCAAAACCTTCTCGCTTGAGGGCTTTGACAAAGTTTTTAAGCAAACCAAGCTTGATGTGCAGGGGTGGTGATTAGATATGATCAGGTTGCACAAGAGGCGTATGCATTACACCAATTTCCCTGCAGCATAATCCGTCCTCTCTGGCCACTTTTCGGTTGTGTAGTGCTGTTGAGTTGCTCTACTGTCTCACAAACACAAGAAACAGTGATATTTTGTAAAGCCTCCTTGCATAGCCATTAGGAGTCCAATGACTTTGAAGTCAACACAGATGTTCCAACAGTACTTATCGTACTTCAGTGCAGCGTACTTTCGTAAGTCTCCTTCATATTGGTGGCATGCAACAGAGGCACAGTTGGGTACACATTTCCATTGTGGAGCAGTATGGCCTTAAGACTACACTTGGGCGAGTCAATGAACAAACACCATTCATCACTGATATGCCTCACGCCAAGCTCCTTCATCAGTCCCTCCACGTCGGAACAGTAACAAAAGGTTTCTCTCGTGTCATAGAAACCGGACAATTTAACACTTCCCTTTCCGTATACAGTAACCTTAGTGTTTGCAGCAAGTAAGTGCCACTGCTGCAGCCGACATGCCAGCAACTCGGCCCTGTCTTTAGGTAAGCCCAGTTCACGTACCAAGTCATTCGGTTCTGAATGTTCAATAAGATGTGGGTTGACAACATCAGCTTCCAAGTTTTCACAGACGTCAGAATCAGGGGAAGTTGACGAGGCGGAATCACTACTCATCATCAATGTCATATTCACTGGAGGCATTGGAATGGATAAGGTGCAATCATAGAACAGCTCGAATAGCTGATGGAAGATCGGGGTAATGAATTTTGTTCTTGTTTCGGTTGGAGATTCCAATGACACTAGTTAGGCAGAAGTAGCAGTCTGGCGTGTGATCCTTCGGCTCCCTCCATACCATGGGGATTGCAAACGCCATCTTGCCTTTGCTCTTGAGCCATTGAGTCAGATGAAGATTGCACAACACACCAACAATATGCGGCGCCCAGTTCTTATCCTGATCTCCCAGTTTCATCCCGAAATATGCATGGTAGGCAGACTTCAGTAGTGAAGAAATGGGTCTGCACTGCGACTTTGTAGTAAACTGTCCACAGACGAAACAAAATGATTTCGATTATTGACACAGCAGCGTCTTTCAGTCATGATCAAGATATCAATTAACGAAACACAGCTCTCAATCGACTTTCATTATCAGGTGGATACAATGGCCAAGTAGACTTCTTTCACGAATACAGACAACAAATGGACCAATCACAGGCGAGCATTTGATGCATGGAACACCCTGCTTGGCTGAGATGAAAAATTGAAAGTAAAAATAAAAATAACTTGATGGAAGCATTTGGTTCGCATTTTCTTAATCAACTCACTTGGTACTACTAGAAACATCCGATCTCATTTCTGTTATAAGAAGGATGCTGCACAGTGTTATCGTTCAACTGAGAGGTCAGCCAAAGTAAACGTCTCAACATTTTATTCGAAACTTGTGAGTGCTAATATTTTGTGCCGTTTATACGTTAAAATATGCAGACCCCATCCGCAACGTAAATAAGTGAGAACTAAACAAGACGCAAACATGCGGTTGCTTCTCTTTTCAGATCAACTTCTGTGTTCCAGCGAACAGATTGAAAAGGACACGCAAGCGCTATCTGAAACGACCTCCATTTGTGGATCCGGTGAGTATGTTATATATACATTTCGTTGAACCCCAGAGACCCTGTTTGGTAGCGCCCTCTAAAACAGGCCGAGGTAAAAAGCGGAGCGAAATGCCTGTCCCGTCTCAAGAACTAATTGACTTTTGCCTGTAACATATGGTAAAGATCATGGGGAAAGCCGTCCAAACTTTTTATATTACAAACCGCATAACCACGATAGACCACAATTCCGTGAACTACCTATTACTTTATATCCTACAATTTGTAGGTACTCTTTTGCAACTGAGAGAAATCAGTCCTTGATGCCATCAAGACAAATGAACTACGGATCTGGGACATGTGGCGGCTATTCATTGTTCAACTCCAGTAAGCATCAGAACGGATGGCCAGTGGCGTGAATAACTCGATTGCATATAGTCTCCATCTCAAATCGATGACCCAGATCTCAGCCATCTGGTGAACCTCGATTGTTGAGCTCGAGGTCTAATGTATCGCTTGTCGATTGAGAGCTGTGCACGATGGTGCAGTCAATTAGTTTCATTTTTTAGCTCACTGAGAGAGAGCCGTGCCGTTCTCTAGCTGATTTACCATTCTTCTGCTGAAAATCATGGAGTACTCCTTAGGTTCTTAGTGCAGAACGAAGCGGATGTCGCCAGCTTGTGCAGAGGAAACGAAAACACTACGGAGAATCACTGTGCAATCTCGAGAGCTTCTCATGGTTTCGATGGAAGCCAGTAATACTACACGCCTCCGACCATCGTTAACCAGAGAAATCCCTACAAAGGCATATCATCCTTCCGGGATTTGGTAACAATGCACGTACTCTACGGCTTGATGAGATGTGTGATTGGGAATTGCATCTTTTTTTAGAATACTGATAGTAACTACCAGTGAGAGTAAATTGGGTGCATCAGCGCTCCATCAATTCACATCAGCTGCTTTGTACCGCTATGCTGGCACAACTGACCTCAAATCGCATTTGATTGCATGTTAACAGAGGCTAGAGGATGGGACGATGGGAAATGCATACAGCCAAAACTGAAGTCAGATGATCCATAGGACACAGTGCTAGGTGTACGAGGGGAGATACAAACGAAGGGTCACAAGAAAATGTTGGGAATACAGAGGTTTAGTGCGCAAGCATGAGTTTGGGCAGGTAATTTGGTACACCAGGAGATAAGATGTGGGCGTCTGGGATATGCGGCGTCTGTGAATTGCCTGATAGGTGATATCATTTTGGGGCACCTGTTGTGTGAATGGATGGTGGACTGAAATTCATGCGTGTGCTTCAAAATGATCCCTCCAATGGGGTATTAGCTACCGATATAAGCATTGTCCGCCGCGACTCGGTGGAATAGGGGGACAGAGGTTTCAGATGATATCCCAAAGCACGCGAGTCGTAGTGTGGCTGTCTCTGCCGCTGATGAGCGTAGCTGAGGAAGAAATCGGTCGTGGAGCTCATTGTTGCGAGCAGGCAACAGATAATATGCAAATGGAGTGAGTTTCAGGCAATAAGAGACGCTTGTTGTGTACACAACTAACTGTTGAGACACACCGTGCTACGTGCATGCATCACGGACATGGTTGGCGGCATCCGGTTTCGGATTTGCTTGTCACTGTGGCTAGCCACAGGACACCTGCGCCTACAGAGGGACCATGGATGGCTTGCGCTGCACCACCCACAGCTCCAACCACACACCCCATATCCAGTGTAAACCCGAAGGAATAAGACCGGGAGGTATGTGGATGGGAGCCACGTTTCATCCACGGAGCCAACCCATACTCCTTCACAGGCAAACAAAAGCACGCTGTAATTGGGGAATCCAGCGCACACAAGGCGGTGGCTGGACCGTAGTCCGCTCCACACTGAGTGCATGGAACCACTCTTCGAGCCTAGCACGGCCACAAGGACCGTGCACCCCGTCCCCTCCAGCAACGACCAACTGTCTCCTGGAGCCAGTATGGACGAGGTAGCGGGTAATAGACAGGTAGGCACCTTGTCAATATGCACATCAAGCGCAGCCACACCGGGGATATCAAACAACAGCCAATCACTTGAGAGAAAAAGAAAAAAGAGAAACACTCGATTAATGCATAAGGAAACGATGACATAAACCTTAATTTAATGAGCATATGTAATAAGTTGTTTACAAACAAATCCTAGATAAGTGCACGAGGTCAGAAAGTATAGTTCACGGAATGCCACGAACACAAATATGCTACGGAAATCGAATACAATTGGCTTAAGTGAGGTGTGCAAGTAAATAGAATAGAGTACACGTAGATATTTATACGAGAAAGAAAAGCATTAAGGCAAAATTGAAAACCCACCACCTGAAATAAAGAGACTTAGCATGCAGGCACGCGGTTAGTAAATCGAATTCAGCGTGCCTACAAACGCTGCGCCGGCTCGGCGTACTTCTCTGCAGGACCCGTCGTCGCTTCCGTAGTGGTCCCGAGTGGCCTAGCTCATGGCCCACTAGACATTTATATGAGAAAGAAAGGCATTAGGAGAGAACATTATTAACAGTGAGTGATGATTCAAGTGAGCCTCACACGTTCTAACCTTGATTGCAGATCATGGGAATCGAAGGCGGTTGATCGACGTGCATGGCGCGATCTAACCACGAAGGCAGTAGCTGAAGTGCGGGAGAAAGCCCTCATGCATGCAGAGAAGAAGCGGCAGTTGCGGAAGCGGCAACCACAGATGAATCGTACTCCATCGACATCGAACGCATGGTGCTGTAGAACATGCGGTGGCGAGTGCCTTAGTCAGGCAGGCCTAGTGAGCCATGAGAGAGGTCACTCGGGACCACTGCCAAAGCGACGACGGGTCCTGCAGTGAACGTAGGCAGCACCGGCGCAGCGTTTGTAGGTACGCTGCTTTCGATTTTCGATTTACTAACCGCGTGCTTGCAAGCTAAGTCTCTTTATTTCAGGTGGTGGGTTTTCGGTTCTCTCCTAATGCATCACGGACATACTCACTCACATATAGGATTAGCCGTTACTCCATTCAATCATTCCACCATGTATCACAGAGGCAGGTAGACATTTGGGAAAAGTACATTGTATTACTTGGTATACGGTTGTTCTTTACTTGCTTATACAACAACACTTGTGACTGAAGTTTCAAAGCCTGGGAAGTAAAGAGAGTAACGTACTGGTGAGACAGTGGTGTTAGACAGAAGTGGGTACCGAGAAGCTAGTGAAAAACAGAATATAACAACTGGAATCTCATCGGCAAATGGCTCGCTAAATTCGGAACGATCTTCATTTTCTAAGTAGGCTTGTGAAATCTGGAAGTGATGGGTGACAAACGAGTGACAAACCAATATTCTGTACTCTTTTTACGTCACAAAACCGGACATAAGGTAGGAGAGAAACGGCTACTTGATGGGTGCGTAGCAGTTAGACACGAGACAGGTTTCCGTTCAGTCGTCTGGGTTGTATAACCAGTGTTTGAGTATACTCAGCTGAGGAGCACGTGATAACAAGGGGACCTGTAAGGCATCCGGCGGGATTTGGATATGATACATGGGAGGTGCATGGGAATTGAGTCGATTCTTAAGCAGTTACCGCTTCCTAAGTAGATAATGCGCTTATTCCACTAAATATGGTACGATGACATGCGACTGGAATTTGACGCATCTGTACCCTACAAAGTAGTCACCGCAGCTTTACTACACCCATTTGGAAGTCTGCGTTAACGCGTTTCTTGCTGCTCTATTCTATCAGCCAATGATCAATTGGGGAGACATGTTTATCAGAATACGGAAGCAGCAAATAGCGTCTCTTACCGCTCGCCGCGTTATTAGTAGGAAAGTGTACGATGATCTAAGATGGTTTGAAAATCCACCGACTCTATCCACCACGAGAAGTACTCACGTTTAAGATGAAGCTTTCAAACAGGTGTTGTCTCCACACCAGGTTGTGAACATCAGTCCTCTTGCCATGTCCCGGATCGACAAACGTCGTCTGCGGACTCTCTTAACGCTCGCGGTTCTGTGCATATGTTATGTCGGCCCTGTGAACTGCTCTCACCCTCCCTAGCAGTGAGCACAAGAGGAGCATAGGTAGAATGCCGTGCATCAGCAAACTGATGAGCAGTACGGGGGTTCTTTTTGTTGAGAAGATTTATCCCAGCTAGACTCAACCACACAGCCACCACACATCCAGGGATGCACTAGACGGTCGTTTCGCCATATTGGGACACGTCAATACCGCGCACCTGACGAATTCAAACCCACGACCTTACTCTTACAAGCCAGCGATTTACGCCACTGAGGCATGGGTGACGGCGACCGACCGCAATGACTGATAACTGGCTGCGAGAAAGCGCATAAGTCGCTGGCTCGTAAGAGTAAGATCATGGGTTCTAACCCGGCAGGACTCAGCGGGTGCGCTCCATTGACTAGTTTCAATAGGGCGAAACAGACGTCTAGCGCTTTCCTGGATGTATGGTGGCCGTCTGATTGAGTCCAGCTGCGATGAATGTTCGCAAGAAAAATACGCCACTTGTATGACGCACGGCTGTGAGAACTAATCAGTGCACGGAAAACTCAGATGAGGAAAACCGAGAGAAATCGACCAGGTTAAGGACCAGTCAAATACGGTCAAGGAGGGGTGAGAGACGGCGTTGAGTTCATGGGGAAGCTGTAATCCGCTCCTAGAAACAATAGCCATTGACTATCAGCGTGATCACAAAAATGACACCAAGAAACAAATATCAACGAATAAGTGCAACAGGAAGTCTGTAGACAAAAACTTGTATATAAATTCGTCAGAGTTTATAGCTATTTCAAAAGCATAGCTTGTTCCTTTAATCACTTCGGCTTTCAGTTCAGTGGTGAATACTACCGCCTTCAGGTGGTGAGCCATTGGTCCAACTCATCACCAGGTTCAAAGAAGGTTCATGCAGTTATCAAAGCTCTCGAAAGTGCCTAGTGGTGGTCCACTCGCAAGTTCCCACAGGTACATTGTAAGAACTTACGAGTGGGCTCAGTGTTAGACGCGTGAATCATGTTTGACAACGAAGTAATAGTCCATTCCGTTGCTCGACAATTCGATGCCAATAGAAAACACAGGGTTAATGCACATCGAACTGACCACCAAGTGTTACCTACCGTTTCCAAGTGAATTCAACTTCCGTTGCACCACGGTGGGTCACCATCATCATCATTATACACGTTAGCCAGAGGTGGGAAACATCTCAGCTATTGTGCCACAATACAAGGAGAAAAAAAGACGACAGAGACATGCCATCTGAGCCACCAGTAACAGATGGACATAGTTTTGGAGAATTAGAAGCCAGCTACCGTGCCGCAGAAAACGTTATACTATGTAACAGAAAGGAGATCATAGTTAGAGGGGTGGGCTAAGCGGGAGGGGGAGGGACAGGGAAACTCGTAATGCAAACGATACTGAGGCCGGCTCCTAGCCATATCGACGAGTGTATCCAGTCAAACGTCCTCATCGTCCTTCGGGCCCCAACCAGGGGGCCGGGAGGCTTCAACCGTGGCCACTTCCGAACAAAGGGTCTTTATTCCTCTTAACCAAGTCATCCATTGGCCTCTCTCCTTTTTCTATCCACCCCCGGTCGAGTAAACAACGCTCCCCGTGGGAGTTGCTGCGTTGGCAAGCGCAATACGTCCCTCCGAAACATAGTTTCTTGTTGATATTTGATGAATTGCATTGCGTCGAGTATAATAAGCACCCAATAGTCCTAAGTCAAACCATGGTAAGACGGGAATGCTTGTGAAGAGTTGGTTACTCCGTGATTAAAATACATTGCATGAGTGCGTAGCCAACATTACGCGTAATCACGGTGAAATAGACAGTTGTAGCCTCGGTGGGAATTAGCTGGGCTATGTTGCACCCCAATTCAGCTTTGGCGGAATACCACTGGATTCACAGTACGTTATCATATGTTCGGAATAAACGATGGGCCTATAATAACGCATTTATGATCACCATATCAACTTCTTTCTCTTAAACGTCTCTCTTCCAACAGCCATCATTTTACGAAGGCTCGAATCCGGTGAGCACAGTGATGAAATCAAAAACAATTCCGAATTCCCTGCCCGGGCCTCACGGAGAACAACTTGAGAGGGTGGACGGCGTCTGGGTGCGGAAAGGATCCATGAGCAGTGGAACCGCTGAAACAAAGCTGCGAAATGAGAGAATCATTACTATCATACTGGGATGCATAATCGCCGTATTATGCGCAGCAATGCTCGCAGTTGTGGTTCCAACAATAGTGCACAAAAGAAAAATAACAAGATTGATCCCTAGTTAATTCATTTGTTTGGTTGTATGAGGAATATCCTGGTGCAAATGCT